TGGCGATCCAGGCTCACTGGTTAAAGCCCACGCCTGGGCCTCCAAGGCCGTCTTAGAAGTGCCAACTCCCACCCGCCCCTCTCATGCACATGGCTGAGAGGGAGCCTCGTCAGAGCCCAGGTCACCCCAAACGCCCATGTGTAGCTCCCATTCTTCCCTTCTCACCACCCTCTCCCCTCCATTATTCTCTGCCTCACTTGGCTTCCTCCGCTCCCTTTGTCTCCAGAGCAGACTCTAAGTTAAAATAGAAAATTCAGACTGCCCGAATTCCTTCACATTTTATGGATTTAATAGGGCCAAATCAAGATTTAAAATGGCAGAATACCAGAGCCCTGTGTCCTGGGAAAACCCCAGCTACAGGTGGGAAAATGAGAGCCCCGAGAAGTGAAATAAAATTACTTGGAGTCACACAGCCAGAAGACGAACACAGACATCCCAGCTCCCAATCTAGATGTTACTCCAAGGGGAAATATAGGTTGTTCCATTCAGGAGCAGTAACTTTTAAGCAAATAATAAACCTATACTAAATCCAGGAGTTGCTTACATAGGGATCATAACTTAATGGTTAAATTCTAGGCTGTGGGCCTGACTCCAGCTTCACCACTTACTAGCCACACGACCTTGGTCAGTTGACATAAACTCTCTTCACCTCGATTTCACCACCTGAAATGAAGATCATGAGCACCTACCTCGTGGGGCTGTTAAAATAAAACGACTCGATACATGTAAAACACATAGGACAGAGCCCAGCCCGGGATACGTATTCAACAGGTTCGCCATCACTCTCAAGATTCAAACCACCGCCCATTTTTTGAAGTGACGTATAAAGGTTTTGGGACATTAAAGATGACCTAGTCAGCTGGAGATCCATTTCCTTCCTGCTATGATCTCAAACCCCTTACTGTGGGTTTGGTGTATCATCATCTCAACATCCCTGAGACGGTTCATCAAAGCTTTAAAGTAATTACAGAGGCACAAAGCGGCAGCCCAAACTGCAAGTCACACAGCATCATGCTCTTCAAAGGCCCTTGCTGACCTCAGCAATGACGCCGTGGCCACGAAGGGCCAGTGCTGAGTAAGACAGAGCGTTTCATCAGCTCAACACGCCTGCCTTCCATGGACACGGAGAGCCGAGCCCTGGGGTGCAAGGGCACGTGCTTACGGGTGTAGGGACACTGGTCCCAGAAACGGGCCACCTCTGCCGTAGAGGGCTGAGAAGCCTCCCCCCTCCTTAGTTCATCGTCGTTTTTGCCTTTTTAAAGTAACCCAGACAACTGCATGCCAGTCAGTTCAAACATTTCTCAACTCCTACAATGGCCCGCGTGCTGGCCCCTCATGGACGAGGAGATGGTGACGCTGCCCCAAAAGTCCTCAGTGTACCGAATGCCCAGCCACTAATTCTTCGTGGTCGATAACACAGAAAAGGGTGCGCTTGCATATTAAACACAAGTTGCAAAATCAATAAAATGTGAAACTGTACCATGTCTTACGGAGCTAATAAATGCCTAAGTCCCATTACAGCTTAATTATTAACCTAAATACACACATCGTAAGGGCAACTTGTACTATTTTTTAAAAAAATAGAACAAAACAGAGTTCGGACATATTTCCACATCCTACTTAACAAGTTATATAGAGATTAGAGTGATGTTGCTCTTATAGTGACTAGCTTTAAAATTTGTTCCTAAACTGTATTAACAGCTAGTGTAAAATATTTGCGAAAAAGGACAAAGACCTTTCAGAGCTGTTTCCTTTGGGAAACAATATGGAATGCTAATGTTTGGAAACCAGAGATCTGCTAGCTTGAAATTCTGGACAGACATTTGCCCAACATGAGATGCACTTAAGAATAACTGCTATTCCCTTGTCATCTCCAGCAAGAAAGATCCGAAAAAGACATCTATGGCCCTGGCCTGTTGCTCAGTGGTTAGAGCGTAGGCCCACACACAACCAAGGGTATTGGGTTTGATTCCCAGTCAAGGGCATGTTACCTCGGTTGCCGGGGATGGTGCAGAGGCAACCAACAGAGGCAACCAATAGATGTGTCTCTGTCACATTGATGTTTCTCTCTCTCTCTCTCTCTCTCTCTCTCTCTATCTCTATCTCTCTCCCTCTCTCTCTCCCCCCATCCTCCCTCCCCTCCATTCTCTCTAAAAATATCAATGGAAAAAATATTCTTGGGTGAGGATAAAAAGAAAAAGACAGCTCCAGGCTCTAAGAAAACACTGGACTTTCTGTAGAGGGTAGATATCAAACTGCAAACTGTAGAGTTACAGCCTGTCATGACCTTAAGCCCAAATACGTATTTACTGCTGACCAAAACAGCTTGAAGCATTTCTACGGATTCACTGTTTCCTCGGTGATGCATACGTCATTAAAAATAGATTACGCACAGATCTCCAAAAGGATGCAGACATGGGCATTAAGTGCAGCACAGCTTGTAATAACAAATACATGGGGATAATCTAAATATCCTCAACAGAAGAGTGATTACACTGTGCTACATCCGGGCAGTGAAATTCCATTTGACCACTAGAAAGAACATGGTCGAGCTACAGGTACTGACTAGAAAGATCATACCCTATACTGCAGAGGAAAAGCACAGGGGTGATGTTTCCTATGGGCTACCTCTGGGAAAAGATCACACAGACATACTTCATTTTATATATCATTCTACATATTATCCTGCAACTAGCTTTTTTCCCTCCCACATGTGTTTACGTATGCAAAAAGGTCTGTACATAACACTAAACCCAGTCTCTGCAAAGGGTACTGGGAGGGTGGATTTAATTTTCTATGTTCTGTCACATAAATTTTTTTAAACTCAAGAGCATGTTCTATATTTTTCAATTTTAAGTAAATTTTAACTTCACAGAAATGACTTCTGATGCTTACTGAACATACAAGAAGTGCATGTGTTCAAGTTTCTCTCTTGTCGTCTTCATAAAATATATTTCTATCAACCAGACACTTCTTTTTAGGTCACGTGAGAGTCCTCACCCTCCCCATGCCACGGAAAGTTATACCCCCTACCCCCGCCCCAGTGCACATGGCCAGATGGGGAGTATTCTGGAATCTCTAAAAATGATCAGAAATCAAAGACTAAAAATATATCAAAGCAGAGTCTGTTTGCTGTGACAGTATTTGTTTTTTGTCCAATACATCACCTTTAAATTCCTAGCTCCTTCATCACACCCGCAGAGAAGTGATTCTGGTTTCTTTTCCCACAAATCATCGCTCTGCTTTTCCTCCCTTCAACCAGGAGGACTTGCAGGATCTCCCGTTTCCCACCGAGATCCCCTGGGGGCAGCCTCTGCAAACAGCCAGGCTCCCACTGCAGGACATCATGGACCGTCGGGGATGTCTTTCTTGTTCATCCTTTAGGGTTTATCCCATGATTAAACATTAAAATATAAAAACTTATGAATCACCGAGCCTCGAAAATGCAATGCCAGATATCTAAGCTCTTTAAAGCAATTTTTTAAAGAAGATACATTCTGGTGGCTATTCTAGAAAGACATCAACACAACTGACAAGTCCAGTTCCCTCTACCGGTGAAATAGAAGAAAATATTATAAAATAGACCCAATAACACTAACAATGGTGAAGACTGGCTTCGATGTTCTCTATTCTTTATACTTATATTTTCTAGCTTCTACCACGGACACATATAAACTATGTAATATTTTTTTTAAAGGGCTTAAAGAGCACAGTGGATATGAGCCACATCAAGCCGGCAAACCAGACAAAGCCAGCACTGCTCCGATGCCGCCGTCACGTTCTCCTAGGGAACCTTCTGAAACACTGTCGGCATCTTGGAAATGAAGAGAAATATTCCCTCCCCTGGAGACCTCCCTCGTCTCCCTGAGCTGAGTCAATTACTCACTTCTTCATATTCCCCCAGCACGCTGTTCTACCACTGTCATCCCAGCAAACATATTTCTACACTCAAATTCTCGATTCGAGTATCGCATTTCCTCCTTCAGTTCCAAGCTCCCCCAGGACCAGGACGGCAATGCACTGACGTGTGTGGCCCTGTGACAGTGTCTGACATGTTATCAGTTTCCAGGTTTCTGGGATGAATGAGAAGTGTGCTCCCTGCAAATTCGCCCGAACATTTCACTGAGCCCCGATGGTAATTGGGCGCCTGGTGAATCCCACCGGAGGTGCCCATCACGTGCATCAGAGAAGCCAAACTCTTGTGTGACTGGGAGCAACCCCAACACCCACATTTTCCAATGTCACCTTGACAATGGCAAGAACAAGCGTGTAGCTGCCAGTGCACAAGCAGACCTCGCCTGGGAGTGAAGGAGAAGGCACGCCCCTTCGAACAGGGTTTCTCCTTTAGGGCTGACGAGCTGATGGTGTATTTCTAACAATGGTGGTGGATACAGGAGTATTCGTTTTCTTCTTTATAACTTTCACATGTTCTTACACGTCTTCTGAATGATTCAGTAGTCACTGAAACCATTAAAATATTTCCGAAGACTTTTTTCCTTGATTTAACACACATACTGTAAACACCACGTTCTGGGCACTATATTTGGGGGGGGGGGGGTTGGACATGAAGAAGTCATATGTGGGAGACACAAAGACAACACAATAGGACACCACTTACATAAAGGCTCCCAATTTTACAGAACCCAGAAAAACGGTCTGCCCCATCATTCTTCCTGCTTCCCGTCCCCCAAGGGAACGAGGAAAACCTTAGGACAACCCTTGCGAGAAGGGAAAAACGAACTACACCCATATGCACAGCTCAGTAAAAGCGACCAGGAAACACGTCGAGCCACCTCCTGCCTCTTTTAAAGGAAAAGTGGCTCTTTCCCTTCACTTTCCATTCTTCTCTTGAGCTTTGTCCTGCAGAGAACCTTGAAACTTTGAAACGTGTGCTATGTGGAACCCCGCAGCGTTAACAGAATTTTAGGTATGAGTCAGCTCAGCCCTGATGCTCCTCCCTGAAGCCCCCCCAGGGAAAGAGCCACCCTCCATCTGCTTACCACGTGTGTTGGTAGCCATGTCGGCCACTTTCTGAAAGGCGTCCAAGAAGGCAGCTGCCGCTACTACTGTTGTCCTAAAATACAAACAGATGACACAGGCATGAGGAATGTCATTAGCGCTCAAGGGCTAAAACCTCCACGGACAGCACGTTATCCTCAGGACAGCCGAGCCAGCTGGGCAAGGACAGCCTTCGGCTTTGTGGTCCCACTTTGTTCTTGGGAGGCGTTCCTCCTCCTCACATTATTCGCAACCCTGCCCCAGTGACGCCCAGCTCCTTCGGTGCTAGTCAATAAATGCCAGCAATCCCTCCCATGCCCTCCTGCCCATTACCCGGTAAAATTTCACAAAGGAGGGAAAGACAGGTGTTTCTACCGAAAAGAAAAACATTATTAAAAAATATCAAGGGTACCGGTAAGAATTAACTTTAGAGTAGGAATCTTAGCGAGAGATCATCTAGTGTAAGTAACTCATTTTAGAGAAGGGAAAACGGAGACCGCATCCACAAGGTGGCTTTCCAACTACGTTCAGGCCAGAGCTGGGACTAGTAGCCAGGCCCATGACTCACAGCCCCATGCTGTGTGACTACACGTCAAGATCCTGGCTGTGTGACTTTCCCCCGAAATCGTAATCACAGTGAAACATCTTTTTCCAACCTTAGAAGGCTACCTCAACTGTACCTTCTGAATTCCTAACAGCTGAGAATAGGGAGAAGTTACTACACTCATTTGCTGGTCTAGAAATGATTTTGAATCCGTCACATGCCCTTGAGCACTATAAGATGTGCTGAGCGCTCTGCGGTCTCCTGCCTCCTGGAACTGGGATCCGAGATGTCATCCAGTGAAGAGCAGATGGTGGATCCCCCAAACACGCAAGCCAGCCCCAAGATCTGTACTTTACAATCGAGCTCTAACCTGATGTAATTTCTAAGTATTTTACATATGAATCCAGTCTTTACTGAGCATGTGTATGAATGCAATGTTGCTGAAGGAAGGAGATGAGGATAAAGATAAAAAGGAAAGAGTTCAAAACAGCGACATAGAAAAGAAATGGCTTTTAAATATAAGCAACAGTGGCAATGGAACAAAGGCTCCTGGCGCTCAGCGTGGTCTCACCAGTCCCTGAGCGCTGAGCTTCCAAATGAGGCCTGATATTTTCCATTCTGCTCAAGTTTAAATATATATATATTATCAATTTCAAAGAGAAAGGGAGAGGGTGAGAGAGATAGAAACATCAATGATGAGAGAGAATTATTGATCAGGGCTGCCTCCTACACACCTCACACTGGAGATCGAGCCCGCAACCCAGGCATATGCCCTGACCAGGGATCGAACTGTGACCTCCTGGTTCATAGGTCGACGCTCAACCACTGAGCTACACTGACTAGGCTCTGCTCAATTTTTTTTTAAAATGACACAAGAACAAAACCATAACGTCAGAAACCCCACCTGGAAGCACATTTTTAAAAGATCTGACATCCAATGCAAACCCTGGAAAAGTTAGCTTTCTCAAACATCCTAGGATTTATAAATAGCTCATTCTGGCGCACAATTAATATCTGACACAGTGGCTGGATTTATTCTCATTCGAGTCCATGCCAATCATCCAAATTTAATGAGCCCGCTGTAGGGGTGCCTTGCCCATCACCCATCATCAGGGCCGCATGGAAAATGAGGTGGTCAAGTGTGATGAATTCAGAGCTTTAACCACGGCTCCCAGTGAGTCATAGTTCAGTATCTGCTGTGTCACGAGATCTTAGGCCTCTGGGATCAGACAGGACACACATGCAGCCACGGGCAGCAGGAAGGAGCGAGTCTCGGGTTTCAGTGCTCCCGGGCTTACTTGCCTCTTCTACAGTCTTCTCTTCATCCTTTCTCAAACACAGACAACTACACCATGTGCATGAGGCCCCCGGCGTGCCCTCAGCCGGTGCTAGGAGTCTGACAAAATGCAGAAATGGTCCCTGCTCTCAGGAGGCCTAAGTGTTGTCAAAAAATACAAAATGTACTTTGCACCAGTGGCGGTAAGATAAGATTGCTCTAAGTCTTACTTGGTGTGTTGAATCAGTTCATTACTTGAAGCTTCGGCTTCCTCATCGGTAAAAAGGAAAGGGAATCTTTTCCATGGTCCATCTTGAAAGCTTGCCAGACAATTAAATGAGGCCAGATAAGGAAAAGTATGTGTGTGGTGGAGGGAGGGCGGGTAAACATAAGCGTCTTACGTTTTACTGCAGAACACCTCCTGGATGGAGGCGAACCTATTTGAAATAAATGTAACAGTGGCCGAGCTGGGGGGTGGGCTGCAGATGTAACTAACGAACAAAGGGAAGGGGCCTGCATTCTGAGCAGAGGAGTTTGGATCCTTCGGCATAAAAGAGAAGGAGCCGGACTCCAGGGCCCACTGTCCGCCTGGAGGCCCACTCACGGCTCTGGACACCCAGGTTCATGGGTGGACACCCAGGTTCATGGGTGGAAACCCCAGGCAGGAAGGTGCAGGAACGAAGGGGAAAAGATCCACCTCTCCCGAGGTCCTCTCTTCTGATCTCCAGGGAGCCATACCCTGTCCTGCCCTGTGGCCAAAGCTCTGGGCAGTAACCCCTGGGGTCCACAGGCAAAGGCCCACGAGCATCATGCCATCCTTCCGCCCTCTCTCTGTCATCCGCATAGCTTTTGATAAAAAAAAAACAAAAAACAAAAAAAAAACAAAAACAGAAAACCTACCTGCTTTGTTCTCTGGAAAACCATCCTCATACATCTGAACCAACCTATGTCATCCCCATATGCCATGAACAAGGGCCATGACACTGATTGCTTTTTCAAGGTCCCATCCCTCATGGAGCACCCGCCAAGTGCAAAAGTGCCCCTTCTTCCCACTGATTTATGGGCATATAGTCTTAGCAAGAAGATGTTGATATATTTCCTATTTCTTATCAGACGATATATGAACAAGCACAAGATGAAGCAATAAGAATAGCCCCTGCGAGCATTATCAGCACTAAATCTTATGTTTTTTTAAAGCAGCTTTACTGAGGCATCATAATTTGTATACCATAAAAATTCACCCCTTTAGGTACACGGCTCAATGATTTTTTAGTAAATTTAGAGTTATGAAACCACCAAAGCAATCCAATTATAGGAACATTTTCATCACCCCCCAAAAATCCCTCGTGTCCATTTGTAATCAGTCTTCTTTTCCATTCCTGGCCCCAGGCAACCACCAATCTACATCTGTGTCTACACATTTGCTTTTTCTAGACATCTCATGTAAATGGGATTCTATAATGGTCACGACTGAGTTTTAAACTCTGTATACGAATAGGCAGTAAGCAGAATGGACTCTGGAGCCAAACTCCGTAAGTTCAAATCCCTGTCACCAAACTCCGTAAGTTCCAATCGCTGTCATTTACTAGCTGTGTGACTTTGGATAAGTTATTCAGCTTATCCATGCCTCGGTTTCCTCATCAGTATAATGGGGATAACAGCTGTGCTTAGCCCTTGGGGTTCTAAGACTTAATTAAGCTAACACATGCCTGGCACATAGTGAGTGCTCTATGAATGCTGCCCAATATTACTTTACATATAACACCCCATTTAACTCTCACAGTTCCTGTGGAGGAGGCAGAACAGATGAGTTTAATTTTATATGTGCATCGTGGGGCCATCCCATTCCCTCCTTTGTCTACGGACGTTGCCATTTTCCTGGGAAGACCTGCTTCTACTTACCGAAGCTGGGACTGCAGTTTCCCCGCTTTGTTTATGAAATCTTCCCAAACTGGGTAGCTCCCCTGCAACAGAATAAAGCCATCAATCAGTAAGTCACACTGTGACAGGCATCTGATTCCGACAATAACACAACACCCGATTCCGATGACACAGGAGCAATCTGTGTATGCTCTCTTCCCTGCCGTCTGGCCTACGGCCCCGGTGATATATAAATGTATTGGCCCGGGAATGGGTTTAGAATGTGCTCAGTCCTGTAATCGAGTCAACACTACAGACACCAGCTGGACACGTTGGGCAGAATCTAATACATACAGAGATGCATCACTTTTTGAGTCAATAGATGGTGGGTCCAAATTCAAGATGTGCAGGATATTCAAGGCTCTACCTTAAATATTCTGCATAGCCTGGGAATGTACTTCCTGGGAAAGGCCCCCTTTTTTCTCCACCTGATCACTCTTATTCCAAATGGTAGGGAAGAGGGAAAAAGAGGGACTGGGGCTCCTCCCAGGATAGGGGCCCATTGGGAAGCATCAGCAGAATATCAAGGTTGGGAAGTTACATAAATAGAACTGCTCCACTGATGGCTTGAAGTACAACAGGTGGCCCCTAGCACACTTGACCATCACCCTCCCATGGCAGCCTATATCTCCTACCCTGTCTTATATATCCATGCAGCCCTAAGTCTATCCTTCCAGGCAACTTCACAGTTAAGTTTAATATTGTCTACCCACTATTAAAATGGACTATTTCTGGGAGCTAAGATTTAGACCAATGAGTTGCTTTCTTGGTCATACTTTCCTCTCTGGCTATAGTTTGGATCTTGTTTGTGTGTGTGTGTTTTTTAATAAGGTCATGTATCATTTTTACAAAAACAATAAAAGTCATTACATAAAAATTTTAAGATCAAATTAGAGGTTCTGGCAACGACAGCACCATGAATTTACAATCCATCCAAACCCTAAAGTCTCTTGCACACAAGCTTCCACATGGACGTCTTTTCAAAGAACTGAAGATAACCAGCACATCCACCCACAGCTTTCCTTCTTTCAGCCGCCCCCCAAGTTCAATTCCATCTCTACCTGGGACCCTGCTTTACATCCCCACAGCATCCTGGGAAAATCCATCATGTCTCCCTACTATTTATTTATTTATATTGATCTTTAGAGAGAGAGGAAGGGAGAGGGAAAGAAAGAGAAGCATTGATGTGAAAGTGAAACATCCATCAGCTGCCTCCTGCACGCCCCCTACTGGGAATCGAGCCTGCAACCCCAGCATGTGTCCTGACTGGGAATCCAACTGGCAATCTTTTGGTGCAAGGAAGGATGCCCAACCAACTGAGCCACACCAGCCAGGGCTCCCTACTCTTTTTCTAAGCAAGGTACTCAGACATGAGCTCAAACCTGCCGGGACAATTCTGCCAGGGCGAAACCAGAGCAGGGCCTGACACCTCCCTGCACCTGCACATTACATTTATATTAAGATCAGTAGCCAACCAACCAATAGGCGATGCAAAACAAACCCAGAGAAGCGGAAACCATGGTGACAGAAATGTCGCTTGTCATTGAATCATTTAAATATAGAACTAAGACTAAACACCTAGGGGGTTTGGGGTGCAGGACAGAACATAAATACTATGTTAAAAACAACACAGGCCACCTCTTGATTTCGTTGTCAAGGGCAGGAGGGAGAAACTATGCAATGACGTAAATCATCTCATCTTTCAATACAGAGGCCCAATAAATAGTCTAAAGCTGCAATTTAGCTAAAACTTAACAATTTCACCTTCCTAATGGCTTTAATAGTCTTTTTTTCTTACCCTTAGAACAGTTTCTCAACCTGGCCACTAAGGACATTTTGGGCCAGATAATTCTTTCTTTAAGGGGCTGCCTTGTGCATTATAGGATATTTAGCAGCATCCTTGACCTGCGCTCGGTAGATGCCAGTCGCATTCACAGACACTGCTGGCTGTGACAACCCAGATGTGTCCAGACAATGCCAGATGTCCTCTTAGGGGCAAAACCACCCCTGGTTAAGAAGCACCGCGATAGAGGAATATCTGAGAAACTCATTTCTCTCGGCGCAGAAACAGTTCTCTGGAGTTTAGCGATTTGTTTGGTATCACTTCAGTTTCAATTTTTCTGTTAAATGAAAGTGAAGTTAAATATGTTTTTATTTTGAAAATATCATGCAGAGCACGAACACCTTGTTATAAAAGTGCCGTGTACACCTTTCTCTAGCAATCCAGTCTGTCTGACAAGGTGCAGGCAGACATCTGGAAAATTATCTATCAAACAGTAAAAGGGACTGTTTCTGGGAGTTCAGATTTGGACCAATGGATTGCTTTCTTGTTTGTACTTTCCTCTCTGTCCGCAGTTTTTGTTGTTGTTGTTAATAAGCTCATGTATCATTTTTATGAAAACAATAAAAGTTGTTTACGTAAAAAAAAACTTAAGATCAAATTAGAGGTTCTGGCCACAGCAGCACCATGAATTTACAGCCCATCCAGACCCTGAAGTCTCCTGCACACAGCTGAGAGCACACCCATCAGTTCTGCATCTCTGCCTCTGAGACCTGCTGGCCCAACTGCAGGCCTCTGGGTCACTCCTCCAGGCTGCCATTTGCTCCCATGGGCTGCTAAGCCGCACCAGGCCAGGGATCCTGTCTGACTGGTTCCTGGCAGAGGCCCTGAGGCAGCTACACCTGAGCTACTGACACCAACACCCATGCACAGGTCTTGTCACCATACTGCGCAGCCACATGGCCTCCATCCCTTCTTCCTACCCTGGTTCTTCAACCCAAGAGCATAACTTTATTTTAACTTATGTTGCAAAGGCTCAGGCTACCACCATTCTAGGTCCATCAGACCTTGTGGGAAAATCCAATGACCCACTTAACATATTTACTATTTTCTGATCCAGTCCAGATATGAACACCCCTTCTACACCCACATCCAAGTAAGGAAAGAGTGGAGGGCCAAGATCAGAGTCCGCTGGCTGGCCAGTAGAGCTCTCTGACCAGATGGGTATCAGTGAGCATCCTTAAGAGTGCAAGAGTTCAACCAACCAATTAGAGCCGTATCTAGCCATTCCTTCTCTTTCTGACCCACAAGGCAGTATAAGCAGCTTTTTGAAAAGCCCATGTTCAGACCCACTGACCACCAACTTCTAGCCAAAGTCACCATCACCTCTCATCTACACCAAGAAGGACATGAGAGCTACCTCTTCCTCTCCCCAGCGCCAACCACTCCCATCCAGGGAGCCCTGAAGAAGGTCACTGAGATGAACCAGTGGCAAGAGGCCTGAGCAGGAACCATTGAGCCCTGAGTTCTAGCCAGGATCCTGCCAGTAAACGACTGGATGAAGTCACTTCACCCTCTCAGGGCCTGTTCCTCCTAATGATAAATAATAATAAAAAGCAATTCCACCACCATCACTGAACCCTGACATTACTGAACATTGAAAGAATACAGGGAAGGAATAGAGAACCCAATGCAGGAGTTCAACCTCCTGGACCGAATCTTCACTCTCGTTTGCAATGTGACACTAGGCAAGTCGCTGGAGCTCTGCATGGGGACGGTCACCACTTCCCTGGGTTGGTGTGAGGAATGAACGAGGTCAGACATTAACATGCTCAGTAAGTGTTCAATACACAGTTGAGAGGATTGATCCAAGCGTTTCTCAGGCTGTCCGGAGAGAAGTCATAAACTCTCTAAGTCAGACCGTCCATCCAGGCGGAAATCCCTCATTCTCCGTCCTCAGTACAGAACCAGCTGTACACGGGCACACTGTGTGCCTCACTGTGAGTTAACCGCAGTCACAGCAGAGCTGGGCCGGGGCGGCTGGGTGCACAGTGTCAGACAAAGTCTCTGCCGCGCCTAAGTAAGTGGTGGGTAGAGTACGCCAAAGCGAGATGAACGCTCCTGAAAACGACTGCTCAACCCACTTCAAAAACTACTTACCTGCCCCCACTCGGAGCCTCATTTCAGTCTTTACCAAATTAGCAACCAAAGGAGGGTCCCCTCTCTCGTCAAGGGGTGCAGCACGCCGCTCTCGCCCACGCACACCCACTCAGCCCCAGAAGCCTGCCAAGAGCAGCTCTCTCCCGTCTTAATGATATTTGAAGTCTTTCAAAGTGTCAGGCCCACCTCTTTCAGGCAGCCTATAATTTAATGGGTTCTAAAAAAAATGAATTTCTAAGAACACAAGACAAAAACCTCCCTGTGTAAGAAAAAAATGTGAAGTGTGTAAATGTTATTAAAACTTAAAGGCAAGGTGATTTGAGTTGCTCCATATTTTTTTTTAAAGTTTCTTTCAAAGTTTCTACCCCCTTGAAAGTAGTTTTACTACAAAAACCCAAAAGTGTGGAGGAAGAGAGAAAGGAGGGAGAAGGGACGTGGAGAAGAGGTCACAGGGGCAAAGCCAGCGGCTGTTCTGGCCTACCAGACTTAGTCAAGGAAAGCACACTCAAATTTCAAAAGAACTTTGCAGGTAAAGACACTGTATGCCCTGAGGACCCTTTCAGAAGGCAATTCCAATACAGTCCTTCATCGTTCCATCTGCACCCCACCCACCAGGAAGTCCCAGTGAGTCCTCTCCCGAGGCCATGTTGCTGCCTGGGTTCGCATTTGAGGAACTCCCTAGGAAGGCTGTCCGGGAGCTGTGGAAGTCTTGACACAGACCCCACTGCGGGGTTCACCAGAGAACACATCCAGGTCTCCACACCTTTCAGATGCATGGAGGGACCTCGAGAATATCATGCGAAGTGAAGTAAGTCAGTCAGAGAAAGATAAGTATCACATGATCTCACTCATATGTGGAATCTAATTAATAAAACAAACTGATGAACGGAGTGGATCCAGATACATGGAAGCGTGAACAGAGTGTGGAATCTCGGAGGGAAGGGGGGCGGGTAGATAGGAGATGATCAACCAAAGACCTGTATGCATATATGCATAACCCATGGCCACAGACAATAGGGTGGTGAAGTCCAGGGTGGGGGATGGGGTAGGCTGGAGGGCTCAGTGGGGAAAGAGGGGGACATATGTAATACTTTCAACAATAAA